CATCAGTGGGCAAGCGGGCATGAAACACTGCATGTGGCAAGAAAGCTTTGTGTGATCACTTTGTTCACTTCATCAGGAAACATGATCATGCTGCTTTGAACAAAAAATTCACAAGGCAATGGTTCCAACCCTGGAACGGGGCTCCTCAAAGTCAACATCAAACTTGACTCTGACTCCAGCTTGCATGCCATAGCGGCGCACATATTTCTTGAATCTCTCACCCTTGGCATTGGCCACGTGTAGCTGGATGTCATCGTTGTGACGCCCCTCGCGCTTCACAAAGCCATACTCAGCAGTTTTCCAAGCGACCACAGTACCTCAGAGAATGTGTCAACACCGGAGCACTCAAACAGACAGCATCCTGGTCTAAATGATGGAAACAGAAACAGAATTGTTGTCGCCATAGTGTCTCAAGACTTTTTTTCTGTGTCACATGTGTCAAACCGCCATCCGATTGAAACTCACTGTACCATCCGAAACCATGATGATTTGCAGCTTCGTGGCCCCGCTCACGGGGTTTGTTGCCCCTGGGCATTTCTGCTGCCTGGCATAAGCCTTGAACCAACAGGGCCAGCAGGGCTAGAAGCCTAGCCTCCAAGGCAGCCCAAGCAGCATTTTTTATCACCTTGACAGGATGCTCTGATAAAAAGAAGATAAAGACGTAGGCCTTCCCAGATATTTTTCAGATATTCCAAGCCATAAGCATGAAATAGGCAGCGATCTTCACGTCGTTTCTCCGGGCCTGTTTCGCATGATTTTGCCAGGCCGATGCCACACGTTCTTCATCTAGCCACACGGAGACCTCCTGCAGACACAGGTGGTTCACACCTCACCTGGGGCCCAGGGCCCCAAAAAGCCCAGGATCAGCGTCCCAGTCCTGGGTCATGGAATCCACTAGCTTCACCACTTCGGCTTTGAGTTCAGTAAAGAATTCGACCAATTCCTTTTGGGAGGCTTCAGAGAACCTCCAGAGGGACTCTCAAAAATCTCAAAATGTGAATTGTGGATGAAAGATTATCTACTGTCAAGATCTGTCAAGATCTGTCAAGATCTGTCAAGTACCGACAAGTGACAACTCAAAAATTGACTCATCACCTGCTGCAGATTTGCACAGATTCACCCTGCCTGTAGAGGCTCTGTCTCACCTCTGCAAAGAATGCTGATCGTGTCCTGGCGTTAACAGCCTCCAAGCGGTGGGCAGTGTAGGCTTCAATAGGCCAGCAGAGTGGTAGGAGGAAATGGACAGAAACAAATACAAAGGTTGTCAAAACAGTTTGAACCAAGCTCATCTGCAAGAATTCTTTGTCTGAAAATAGAGTACCCCGATTCCAATGGAATATGATCATAGATTATCATTATCCCTAATATTAAACTGGTCACTTGGAGGGTACACTCCATGTTCAGACAAACCCAAACCTTTTCTCGGCATGATTAGCTCTTTCACCTTGCCTTCAAAGCTTGAGAGGAGTCCTCATCTTTCAATTTGGCCACGAACTCCTGACACCAATGATGCCTCCTAGACGGTCCTGCAATGCCTGTGTGGAAGTATGGAATTGATAAAATCGCAAGGGCTCTGGGATTCGGGCTTGGATGGTCCAAGATGATCAAAGGTTAGATCATCTATTACATTATATATGGTATTTTATGTTATATGATATTATGTTATTTTATATTATAGTATGTTATATTATACTAAACTAAACTAAACTATACTACATATACTATACTATATTGTACTATACTATACCATACTATGTTATATCATAGTTTATGTTATTATTATATTAATCAGAGTATGTTATATTTTGTTATATCATCTCAAATCATATCATATGATGTCATATTATATTATATCATATTATATTATATCATATAATATTATATCAAAACATATTATACCATATTATATTACATTACATTATATTGTTTTATATTATACTATATCATGCTATGCTATACTATATCAAGTCATATTGTATCATATAACATAGTATATTACATTTTATTTATTTCTTTAAAAAAAATAGTTCAATTCTATACAATAGTGTTTTATTTTTACTAATTATATTATATATATATATATTATATTATGGATGATATTATATCAGATTATATTATATTATACTACATTACATTACATTACATTGTATTGTATTGTATTCTATTTTATTGATTTATATTGTTATATCTTTATGTTTTTCCCGAGAGCGTCTGAGCGCAGGGTTCTTCCAATAGTGGGGGCCTGTAAAACATCTTCTCATCTTCACATCTTCTCATCTTCACATCCTCTCATCTTCACATCCTCTCATCTTCACATCTTCTCATCTTCACATCCTCTCATCTTCACATCCTCTCATCTTCACATCTCATCTTCACATCCTCTCATCTTCACATCTTTTCATCTTTACATCCTCTCATCTTCACATCCTCTCATCTTCACATCTGCTCATCTTCACATCTTCTCATCTTCACATCTTCTCATCCTCCCATCTTCTCCTCATCTTCACATCTTCTCACATCTTCTCACATCTTCTCACATCTTCTCACATCTTCTCACATCTTCTCACATCTTCTCATCTTCTCACATCTTCTCATCTTCTCACATCTTCTCACATCTTCTCACATCTTCTCACATCTTCTCACATCTTCTCACATCTTCTCACATCTTCTCACATCTTCTCACATCTTCTCACATCTTCTCACATCTTCTCACATCTTCTCACATCTTCTCATCTCACATCTTCTCATCTCACACCTTCTCCTCTTGCCCTCTTGCCCTCTTGCCCTCTTGCCCTCTCCTTCTTTTCTATTTCTTTCTTGAAGGCGGGAGCAGAGGCAGTGGCAACGAGACGGCACGAAACGCAACCCTTTCGCACGAAATGAGGTTCGATCGTCAAAAACTGATGTAAAATTGCGATTTCAAGTGGTCCGGCGCAACCCTTTCGCACGAAATGAGGTTCGATCGTCAAAAACTGATGTAAAATTGCGATTTCAAGTGGTCCGGCGCAACCCTTTCGCACGAAATGAGGTTCGATCGTCAAAAACTGAGGTAAAATTGCGATTTCAAGTGGTCCGGCGCAACCCTTTCGCACGAAATGAGGTTCGATCGGCAAAAACTGAGGTGAAATTGCGATTTCAACTTGTCCCGCGCAACCCTGTCGCATGTCCCTTTCGCACGAAATGAGGTTGGATCGCCAAAAACTGAAGTAAAATTGCGATGTGTCTAAAAGCGTCTGTGTGTAAAAGCGTCTGTGTGTAATAGCGTCTGTGTGCAAAAGCTTCTGTGTGTAAAAGCGTCTCTGTGTAAAAGTGTTTGTGTGTAAAACTGTTTGTGTGCAAACTTTTGCGTGTAAAAGCATCTGTGTGTAATAGCGTCTGTGTGTAAAAGTGTCTGTGTAAAAGCGTCTGTGTGTAAAAGCTTCTGTGTGTAAAAGCGTCTGTGTGTGTAAAAGTCTCTGTGTGTAAAAAGCGTCCGTGTGTAAAAGCGTCTGTGTGTAAAAGCGTCTGTGTGTAAATGGGTCTGTGTGTAAATGTGTTTGTGTGTCAAAGCGTCTGTGTGTAAAAAGCGTCTGTGTGTAAAAAGCGTCTGTGTGTAAAAGCGTCTGTGTGTAAAAGCGTCTGTGTGTAAAAGTGTTTGTGTGTAAAAGTGTTTGTGTGTAAAAGCGTCTGTGTGTAAAAGCTTCTGTGTGTAAAAGCGTCTGTGTGTGTAAAAGTCTCTGTGTGTAAAAGCGTCTGTGTGTAAAAGCGTCTGTGTGTAAAAGTGTCTGTGTGTAAAAGCGTCTGTGTGTCAAAGCTTCTGTGTGTAAAAGCGTCTGTGTGTGTAAAAGTCTCTGTGTGTAAAAGCGTCTGTGTAAAAGCCTCTGTGTGTGAAAGCGTCTGTGTGTAAAAGGGTCTGTGTGTAAACGTGTTTGTGTGTCAAAGCGTTTGTGTGTAAAAGTCACTGTGTGTAAAAGCGTCTGTGTGTAAAAGCGTCTGTGTGTAGAAGTGTCTGTGTGTAAAAGCGTCTGTGTGTAAAAGCTTCTGTGTGTAAAAGTGTCTGTGTGTGTAAAAGTCTCTGTGTGTAAAAGCGTCTGTGTAAAAGCGTCTGTGTGTAA